CTCTGCATACGTATGCATACGTATGAATGCATGCCTGTATGGGTTTTTCTATGTCTGTATCTATGAATGTATGCATTTAGTTAGTATGTAATTATGTATGGTTGTGTATGTTATGTTTTGCTTTGTTATGTAATCTAACGTGACGAAAAGTAAGGTAATGTAATCTTATGTATGTATGTCTATACATACACATGCATTTTAATCCATGTATGATAAGTTTATAAATATAATACTTAGACTTATGCATGCATGTTTCATTAATAGACTGCTCTATTTCTTCACAAGCGCAGCCGTCACATAGAACGGAACAGTCCAAGCCACGGGGGGGGGGGTACTAAAATGACTAGCAATCTCCTGAAGAATCAGGTAACGGGGCTGGCCGCCCTCCCCTTTACTTCGTAAAGTAAAACTCAAGGTAGCCCCTCTGGAGCTACCTTTCGTGATTTTAGCAAATTGCAAAAATTCAATCATTGCCTTTCAAAATACCTTTTCTAAAAAATCCTGACCCAAGAAGCCTTTGTAAAAAATGGAGAGTCCGGGTTCGCCATGTGGATTGTACCCACTTTTTAGCCAAAAAATTTTTTTTTGCGACAACCCGGGTTGTCCCATTCTTTAGTGGAAATTCCAAGGGGGATATTTAATATGTTCTTAATTTTACGCACTGTATTTCTTCAAATAATGTCTAATACGCTCTTGATATTGCGCTCTGCACTTCTTCAAGTCACTTCTAACACGCTCTTAATATTACGCTCTGCACTTCGTCAAGTCACTTCTAACACGCTCTTGATATTACGCTCTGCACTTCTTCAAATCAATTCTAACGCGCTCCTGATGTTACGCTCTGTTTCAAGTCACTTCTAACACGCTCTTGATGTTACGCTCTGCACTTCGTCAAGTCACTTCTAACACGCTCTTGATATTACGCTCTGCACTTCGTCAAGTCACTTCTAACACGCTCTTGATGTTACGCTCTGCACTTCTTTCAAGTCGCTTCTAACACCCTCGTGATGCTACGCTCTGCACTTCTTCAAGTCACTTCTAACATGCTCCTGATGTTACACTCTGCACTTCTTCAAGTCACTTCTCACACGCTCTTGATGTTACGCTCTGCACTTCTTCAAGTCACTTCTAACGCGCTCTTGATGTTACGCTCTGCACTTCTTCAAGTCACTTCTAACACGCTCCTGATGTTACACTCTGCACTTCTTCAAGTCACTTCTAACACGCTCTTGATGTTACGCTCTGCACTTCGTCAAGTCACTTCTAACACGCTCTTGATGTTACGCTCTGCACTTCGTCAAGTCACTTCTAACACGCTCTTGATGTTACGCTCTGCACTTCTTTCAAGTCGCTTCTAACACCCTCGTGATGCTACGCTCTGCACTTCTTCAAGTCACTTCTAACATGCTCCTGATGTTACACTCTGCACTTCTTCAAGTCACTTCTCACACGCTCTTGATGTTACGCTCTGCACTTCTTCAAGTCACTTCTAACGCGCTCTTGATGTTACGCTCTGCACTTCTTCAAGTCACTTCTAACACGCTCCTGATGTTACACTCTGCACTTCTTCAAGTCACTTCTAACACGCTCTTGATGTTACGCTCTGCACTTCGTCAAGTCACTTCTAACACGCTCTTGATGTTACGCTCTGCACTTCGTCAAGTCACTTCTAACACGCTCTTGATGTTACGCTCTGCACTTCTTTCAAGTCGCTTCTAACACCCTCGTGATGCTACGCTCTGCACTTCTTCAAGTCACTTCTAACATGCTCCTGATGTTACACTCTGCACTTCTTCAAGTCACTTCTCACACGCTCTTGATGTTACGCTCTGCACTTCTTCAAGTCACTTCTAACGCGCTCTTGATGTTACGCTCTGCACTTCTTCAAGTCACTTCTAACACGCTCCTGATGTTACACTCTGCACTTCTTCAAGTCACTTCTAACACGCTCTTGATGTTACGCTCTGCACTTCTTTCAAGTAACTTCTAACATGCTCTTGATGTTACACTCTGCACTTCGTCAAGTCGCTTCTAACACGCTCTTGATGTTACGCTCTGCACTTCTTCAAGTCACTTCTAACACGCTCTTGATGTTACGCTCTGCACTGCACTTCTTCCAAGTCACTTCTAACACGCTCTTGATGTTACGCTCTGCACTTCTTCAAGTCACTTCTAACACGCTCTTGATGTTACGCTCTGCACTTCTTCAAGTCACTTCTAACAAGCTCCTGATGTTACGCTCTGCGCTTCTTCAAGTCACTTCTAACACGCGCTTGATGTCACGCTCTAACCTTGCTCTAGTTCTTGCGAAGTCTATGAAAATTTGACTCACGTCCTGCAACGCTTGTGACACGAAAGACGAAAGAGATACACTTTACAGATACAAAATCGGAAAAACGAATTGGTTTGTCGGAGGATTTGAGAGGCTACAAAAAATTGACAAACGCAGAAATCCCTTAGAAAACACAAGCAAAGTGAACTTGCAACGGTTGGAAAAACAGGCGGCGTTTTGTCAGCTGCTTACCAAGTCGTTTGAAACATGTCGTTTCCAACATCTCAGTCAAAGGTCTGATTTTGCGGAGAGGTCCCTGGGAAGGAGCACGAACTACTTCGTTTGCTTGTTGGATCTTGTTGGTAAACGAATTCATTAGAATTGTTTCTATCGATGTAAGCGGTGTGCAAGTGTAGTATTTTTCTCAAGCCTTTGAGCTGAAAAGCATTCAGCAGTTTCCCTGTACTGTCTGTGGTTTGAAATGACTCTAAGCCGTAAAGTAGTCTACTAATGATAACGGAATTGAAAACTAGTAATTTCACTTTCTGCTGCAGTTCGTTTTGTTCCAAAAAATATCAAGTAGGCATTTCAAAGTTGGCATGGTGCTCGAGATTCGTCATCTTATTTCGTGTGCGGGATCAATGTTTTCATTAATAACAGCACCTAAATATTTGGCTTCCGTCGTTGGCTTCATCATGGTTCCATTCCAAAATTTGATTCTGCGGACACTGGCATTAAAACTTATATAGTTGCATTTATCATGATTCACTCTTAGATGCAAATACTCTGATTCTTGTTCGATCAAATGCAAAGTTGGCAGTCCCGGCGCTTGTGGCAATGATTAGAGCGTCGTCTGCATAATACAGCAGTTCTTGGAAATTGATATGTTGAAAAGTTTTATACTGTCCTGTCGAGGGTCGTTAAACTGTTCCTTCACATCATGAAACATAACATACATAGTCAATATAAATAGAAAAGGACTTAATGGACATCCTTCTCTTATTCCTGTCCTCTGTTTTTGCCATTCGCTTTCGTGATTCCCTTGCATCACTTTGAAGGCTGGATTCTGTTACAGGCTTCAGATATTATCAGTAATGGTTTGGGGAGTTCCTAGTCGCTAGAGTGTTCTGCATAGTCTGTCAGACGGTGCACGCAGAAAAGCGGTTCAGCAGTTGACCGTTTGGAGCGAAAACCATATTCTGTGTCCCCGAGGTTATTTTCTAGGATAGATGAGAGTCGAACTTGAATAACGCCAGCAAAATTCTTATAGCAAGTATTGGGCAGGGAGATTGGGCGATAGTTTTCAGGATTGTCGTGCGCTCCTTTTTTGTGTAAGCAACAGACATGCGCTTGCGTAAAACTGTCAGGCACCCTCTGCTCTGCCCAGAAAACATGTAAGCACTTTGTAATTTTTTCAAGGTTATCGTCATTTAACAATTTAAACAATTCGGTTGTGGCGCCATCAGGGCCGGCAGCTTTGTTGGTTTTGAGTTTCAAAACAACTTGCCGGATTTCAATGCTGGAAATGGGGTCAGCGTTGAAAGGAAAAGTTCTGCTTGAAAAGATTATTGCGTAAAGGGTCTGCTGGTGGCGCAGTGGTCATAGGTCCCCATTGTTTTTCAAACAAATACTCTGCCAGGGCATCCACCTTTTTTGAAATGGGCACACGGTTCCCTTGAACATCCTTTAAATCGTAGAATCTAGGCACTAGGCGTGATAATTTGCTTTTCAAATCTGATCTGTTTCCAAGCAGTTTTTGTGCCGGTCAGATCTGCCAGTTTGCTGGTTCCCCAAGTCATTTTATCTTTCCGGGCGTGTTTTTTAATTTCTCGATTCAGCAGGTTCTCAGTTTGATAGTCACGTCTCAACCTAGCCTCTTGTCTGCTTTGGATAAACTGCCACTTGAGACCAGAAAGATATTCACAATTTTGTCGCGAACTTTTCGCTTCAAAGTGCGTTTGGGCTGCTTCTTTCATTACGGTCACAAAGGAGCTATAGTTAGCCAATTTATCTTCCAAAGGATCATGTTTGAAAAGGAAATGTGATTGTATATGTTGATTATAGTCAGTTGTCAGCTTGCTCCTGTGTTGGTATGAAATATCGTTTTGATCTACACTTTCCCTTCTCCAGCTGTTTTCAGGCACTAAGTTTTATTCTAACATCAGCCATGACGAAAACATGATCGCTGTTAAAGGCAATATTCGTATGGGCGTGCACGTCTGAATCCGCATTTCTCCATTGTTTGGAGGCGAGTATCAAATCTATCTGAGCAAACCTATCTGGGGCCAAAGGGCCTACAAAGCCATTTGTTCTTGTGTCCTTGTACGTGCATTTATATTCATCAGGTTTTATGCAAAATGTATTGGATACAATGAAGTCATTGGTGGTGCAAAAATCAAGAAGAAACGCTCTGCTTTCTCTTTGCTCATCAGAAAGGTTATCCACAATAAAGCTTCCCCAACCAAACACATGGCTATCAACTATCGTTTCTTCCATCCCGTTGACTCTTCCATGTAAGCGTGCGATGGCGTGCGTTGGTGTCTCCCACCACGAAAGTAGGCATGTTGGCGGTTTGTGTTTCGGTAATGCTGGGGAGCAGGTTCCAGTGATGATCTTTTTTGGCAAATGGTCTAGCACTATGGGGGGCATAATGGTTGATGATGCGAATGCTGGGCCCTTATTTGCGGATGTGCAACTCGATTATGCGACCGTTGCGTGGTATACAGTCTGAAGCAAAACTGCTAAATTTAGGCCCTTTGACAAAACCGACTCCGTGATGTTCAGTAAAGTTCCTAGGGATGGCTTTCGCCTGAGCTTGCTCCTCAACTTCAGCCGAAGCACTTGGATTGTTCTTGTCCGAACTGAAAAAGAATTTGTACACCTTGTCAGTACCTTCTATCGTTTTGGACATGTCCTCACGGTTGCAGTTGCTTTGCTCCTGGCTATCCTCACAGGACGCTCTGACCTATGCATTGCGGGAGTCTTCGGAGCTGGCAAAACTCGCTCCTTAGCAGTATTGTTGATCGCGCTCACCTGCGAGCTGGATGATTTCTATGCTGTGGTCTACACCAAGGAAAATGTCGCTGCGAAAGCCCTAGCTGACCAGATCAGCGACCTTTCCCCGCCAACGCAGTCGACCTTTGGAGGTCTGCTAGGTCGTATCGAGGAAGGTAAAGGCGAAGCGTATGCAACGAAAATTGACGTGCGATGCAGCGACCGCAACAGAGTTATTGCTGAGAAGCGTATTCTGATTGCAACCGGAGGCTCAGCGACGGCAGAAATGGCCATGAAATACTCATCATTCAGCCTATGGCTTTCCAGGATGTGGGTTTCAGGCAGCATGGTTTGGAGGACTCAGAACAGCTACAACCTTCTCAGCGGCGGGTGCAACCGCCCGAATCGCAGTTCTTCCGTGCAAAGATTGGCTTTTGTTTCTTGAAGGGCAAGAATATCAATGTTGAGTTGATGCAGTTGATGCATGATCTCCATAATGTGTTCCCTTTTGGATTGCGAGTTGAGACCTCTGCAATTAAGCATTGCCATGCGCCATGTGGATGCATAGGGTATTCCGTATTTTACTTTCAGCATATTACGGGGCTGAATCTGGTGGTTGAAAATCTTGTTCAGGAGGCGTATGAAAAGACAGTCTTTGCTTTTTCATTTGTGAATATTGTTTTTGCCGTTTTCGACGCTTCGCATTTTGAATCTTGTAAAGTTCTTGGGTTGCGGGATACAGCAAAGAGGTTGCAACCAAGTTCCTCAATGCTGTGCTGCCATGTTGTTTTATTTGTCGCCAATGTCTGCGGTTGTTTCTCCGAAGGGTTTTCCACTGTTCGTACCTAGCTTTGCGTTTGTCAATGTTCCTGTTGCCTCTTCTAAATTTCTTCCTGCTAGTGGAGTTTTCATGGTTTGTCATAAATAGATTAAAAAGTGAATTTGTTTATTCCAGTTTAAATATTATTATATAATAATACATTTTATTATTTTTATTAGTTATACTAAAATAAAGTTTTGTAAATTCATGATTTCTATTTCAACATATTTCAACCCTATTCAAACCCCCCACATGACTATTGAAGCCAAGTCTGCCTGGCAATTTCTGACTTGCAGTGACTTGCATCTACATCTTCATCCTCAATATTATCCAGATCATCGCCATCACTACAATCAAATCTCCTTTTCATCAATATCGTCGAAAATCACACAGGTCGGGTCATGAACCAGCCTCCCTGCAACCGCGTGCGCAGAAATCTTGACAGCATCTCAACACTCCAATGTTACATCTGTTCAGTCCCGCTCTTGGACCTGCTTTTCTCCTCTTTTCTCCAGGATTGAAATCGAATCGCTAATGTAACAAGCCGGTCTTTGCCAAGCTGCATCGATCCTCTACAGTACAACAAAAGATGTGCTCCCAGTCTAATCAATCACAGAAGTGGTTTTTGCTCCTTCCATTCAATTGACACCTCTGCCGTGCTGTAGTTCTGCTGGAGGATTAGATAGCCTCTCCATCTGCGCTTTCGTGGCATGCAGCATATTCAAAGGCTCTGGTGCTGTCAAAACAGCTCCTATATGTCCTATTATATAAGCGAAAATCACAAAGCAGGCGAGAAAATGTCAACTTAGCAAATGACATTGCCATACATTGCCCCACACCCGCCTTCGATATCTTCCGATCTCTCGGTCCAGCTCAAGGAGATCTCGCGGCCTGGCCACCTCCTGAGTCGAGTTTCTGTAGGATTCTGTAGAATTCAGCACTTTTTTTTTCTGGAAAAGCACGGAACGGCGGAACGGAATTCTACAAATGACCAAAGGACCTTTACCAAGGCAAAGTTGCCCATTCGCTTGATCACAACTCGCTCCTCAGAGACATGACTCGGAAAAACACATGGAAAGAAAACCATGGTAACTAACCATATGTAACCATGGAAAAGCTCCCAACATCTCCCAACATGTGCAGAATCTCAGCAACACATTCACAGATCTCAATATATCCATGTCTCGGCGGCCATCTCTTCAAGAGAGCGCCGTTTGATCATTTCCTCCTCCTCTTCTTTCCTGATATGAGCCTTGGAGAAAGCAGCCAGTTGCAACCAGAAGCTATAGAAAGCAACAACGCCAAACCAGATCAAACCTCTTGATATCCTCCTTCTTTGCTATTATAATATCTTAGCTTAAACATGGCTAAACATGGCTAAACTAGGCTAAACTACACCTGCAGGAGCTTTCTATAAACAAGGCACTGTAGCAGCCTGCTGCGCAGCCCAAGCAAAAAGCTCTGGGCGCGAGAAGGGCACATTTTGCCTGAAAAACATCACCCAAAGGCCAAGCCAGAATGAATCAAACACTGAAGTACGGATCACGACATCAATGCACAACATCAGGCAGAACATGGCAGAACGAGAAACATGTTGATATACTTGATCATATGCGTACACGTGTTCACACAAGGTCAAAGCCTGCAGGTGGTTGGATCATCCAGGACCAACTGCAGCCTGAAAACAAAACGAAAGGCGCGGTGTGGTGTGCTAAGATGTCTGAGAAGAATCTGGAATCTTGGTCCAAGGCGTCTTTGAATGACAAATGCACAATCTCCGACCAGCTTCTTGCTTGGTCCTGACGTATGCGGCAGGTGAAGGCAATAACACTGCAATTGAAAAATAAAATGCGGAAAACGATAACACCTTCTTTTTGAGTGCAGCGGCCTTTGCACTTTGTTCAGCACAGCCTCAACCAAAGTACAATGCTGGAGCTTGCAGAAGCTTGGCTGATCTTGAATGACCTCCGGTTTTTTGCCTGCTTTGATTGCTCTGATGGCATTGAGGGCTAAACAGATTTGGTTGGAGAGGCACAGGGGCTCTTGCTCGGAGACGTTGGTGATCTGCGCGACATCAAATATCGCAATGGGACATCATTCCCCCGGGTTGCAATGCTGATAATCTGATGTTACCAAGAGGCGCCACAAGAGGCGTCTAAGAGAGCGTCTATCATCTTCTATCTGATTCTATCCTTTCCTCCCTGAGCCTGGTCGTCGGTGTGCAGGCTTTCTCAGCCAACCTCAGCAACACGATGCGGATAATGCACTCGAGCTGGTCATTCCTGTAGCTGAAACATCTAGGTGAAAGATGGTGGATCCAAGCAAAGACATGCAAAGACTGCCATGCGAGTTTTCATTAGATGGATTGTGTAACGTGTCCTCTCAGCTTTCACCAAGTAGAATCTTGTAGAGTCTGAATATCAAAAGGTGCCACTGGATCACGGGCATTCCATTCCCGAAACAAATTGGCTGCAACCGTGCTCCTGACTTCAGCCGATTCGTAGGTGAAGTTTTGGGTGACATTTTCGGCGACATGGGCGAAACACCTTCCGCACCGAACGCAGCAAACATGATGCAGGGCACAGCATTGGCATCGCAACCCGGTTGGAAATGGCCTTGGTTGGATTCGCCATGAGCTGCAGTGAACTCGTAGATAGCAGGGTCCAGTTGCCCCTTCCTGGGTCCAGCGGAGGTGAGTCTGCATGGAAACTGAGTGCATCATTGATGTCATCATACATCACATCTTTGCGTAAACTCACTGATTGATCTGATTGAAAATTATTGTACACCACAGCCAGCGCAAGGTGTCGTTGAGGTCAACGCCCCTGCACCGTCAACAGCTCCACCATATCCCAGCCCAGAAGTGTTTCGGCCTCAAGGGTTGAGTAATGGGCAATCGCATGCAATCGCTACAGATCAGAGTAAAGCGCTTTAGGTTTCCGACGTCTTGAATCGCAGCAACACTGGAGATGCGACCAGCCGCCACCTGCAACGCTTGCAAGGCAAAAACCGATGTGGCCCTAGCCGAAGCTACATTGCCGCATGCAATAACCAAAGACTGCATCTGTACCTTGCTGATCTTCAATCCACGCAAAGGCCCCTCCACACAGAGCGGCTGCGCAATGTTGCGGCGTTGAAATCGCTCTGTACCTGCTTGCAATGCGGGAAGATTGGCACAGCATGGGACAAACACATACATAATAATGCACATACGCAAACAAAACATACAACATGACTTTAATTGAGAAGTGGCCGTGCAGTGGTCCAGAACTAAGCCCGAGGCTGGTGCAAGCTTCCAGCCTTTGATCCAAGATATGACATGACTTTGGTGGTTTGAAAGTGGTTTGATGTGCAAAACAAATGAACAAATGCGGCTAAATAGCTGTCCCCAGGTGAAGACACGTCCATGAGCTGTCAGAGCAACAGCGTGGTCTGAACCTTGGAGGCTGACCCAGATGCAAATTTCAAACGGTCGGCCTTTCACTACACTACATCAAGTTTTCATTGGATTCCTCTTCGCTTGGAACGCGATGGAATGCGGATTCTAGGCTGCCAGACCCACACTGATGCTAGTGACACACGCAGCTAGTCGCGCAAACGTTGGCACAGGCGCTGGCAGCCCGCCACCAGAACGTGCCAGAAGTAGATCCTAAGCAGGTCAAAGTGCGCCCCCGCTTCCAGCTCTTGACTGATGCTGAGGATTTCTTGGTGTGGCAGAGCAAACTAGCCTGTATGCTACACTGTATCCAATGTATCGAGACCGGATTCGATGACATCAACCAGGTAGAGCCCGAAAACCATTGAACCAGGCAGCTGACACCATCAATTCCCTAAGCCCCTGCGCCTGGCTACCGGCCCAGCTGTGAACAACTCCACGGTTGGTCACAGCGAAGTTGGCATGGCCACAAGCAATCGAAGCGAACCTCACCAAGCCATTCAAAAAAAACATCTCCAAATCATTCCAAGTCATGGCACTGGCGTCTGACATGTTAGGGGCGTTATTTTTATCTCCCCATTCAAAGCCGCTTAGACTACTCTTGGCCACCAAGGAAGTGCAACCGAAGGCACCCACTCTCTGAGCGTGCACCACCTGTCAAGGTAGCTACAACAAAACGGAGCTGCACACCATCGCCCGCATTCTGAACTCACTCTGACAGATTCTGCACGCCTGCACCCCAGGCTGGTGATAGAATCGCCTGTGGCTGCGCACCCTTGTGGAGCAGAACGGTGTCTGTCTGCGCAGACGACAATGCATTTCCTCGCGCAAAAACATGCTCAACTCCAGGGGGATTGTAGTGCAATGCGCATTGCAGGCACGTTCAAATTTGCGACGTGTGATGTGTATGTTAGTACAAGGTATTCATAACTGATTATTCTATTCCCATATACAGGCACATACACCCACATATATCATGTGTGTGAGTGTGTGTCTCTCTCTCTCTCCACATGTAAATTATCATCATCATCATCATCATCATCATCAGCCGCAGCAGCATCAGCGGCGGCATCATTATAATCAGCAGCAGCAGCAACAGCAGCAACGGCAACAGCTGCAACGCAAGTGGCACTCACCGACGTCCAGCTGTTGGTTGGAAGTACGGGTTTCAACAGCTCCTTCCAAAAGCGTCACATTGCACACCAGCGTTGGGACTAGCCTTGGATTTCGGGAAGCCCGGACGTCCAAACACTCACAGCTTCGAAGGTCCAATCAAGAAGTCTGAGAGGGCTCAATTCCTCAAAACTCTTTGGATGGATGGAGCACAGTCAAGGGGCACGTTTCCCGCAACTTCCTGCAGATCGAGGTCGGACAGCAGCTGGTCGTCCATACCTTGGAGATTTTGATTTCTTGATGCCTCACGATTTTCTTCATTCCAGCACATCCATCACCGAAGGTCTGAAGTGAATATCATAAATCTGGGGTGCGTGGGCGAGGCTTTCCAGCAGCCACTCCATCCGTAGACAGCCTTGGTTCCAATGATCTGCGCCATACAATCTGCGAGGAAAGCCGATGCAATGACATACATAATAATATATAAATTATCATAAATTAATACATACTTATAACTTATACATACTCTATGAGCCACCTGTTCCACTAGACCAGGTCCGTTTTCAAACTGCCCGTCGTCATGGTCGGGGTGTAAAACTAACGTGAGCAAACCCCAGCGAAATAAATGGGACGAGAAGCTCTGCCTTTGCTGCCGCTGTGTCAGATTTCGAATTCTTGATGAGCTGGAAAAAAAGGAAAGGGCCTTGGCATATTGGCTAGTAAATAGACTAGACATGACTCGACTCAGTTTGACCAGAAGAAAACAAATAGGACAAGATGAATGAACATGATGGTTGTATATGGTTGTCCCGTCCAGATTCCGTTATTGACCAACTGAGCCCGATGCAAGCTGTCAGCACTTTTCGGCCCCTCAGCCAAGCGTAAGTGAAATCATGTTGCTGCAACAGACGTGCCCCAGGAATCGGGAACCAACACAAGACTTGGGAACCAAGAACATTGAACCGGGAACCAAGAACACTAAATCAGGAACCAAGTAACCAGAATCCAGAACCAAGGAACGTTGGTAATTAGACCCCACCCACCCCAACCCACCCACCCACCAACACCTGATGCTGGTCGCTGATTCGTGGTGTCTGATTTCGCTCTTTGGCGTCTGACTCGGAGTTCTTTCAGGCGCCCAGATGTGGCTGGACCTCTGAGCCTCCACGCCCAGCTGTCGCGCGCAGTGTGCCTCTTGATGGTGGAGCTCGTGGTGCTGTTTGTGGCATGTAGCCTCAGCACGCGGACATCATGGCCAAGTCAATCACAGGTACCCCATGGTACCCCCTCCTACCCAATGTGGTACTGCGAATTCAATGCAGCTGCGTTCGCTCAGGTGTCAACATGGCAAGCCAACACCAGAAGAAGATCCCCAGGCCCACAGCTGCGCCTGCCGTGCTCCACAAGAATAAGCCCAACATTCCTCTGACCCCAGCCGTCACCCAGGCCTCAGCATCCAGCGCCAAGGTGATACGAGGCCCCGCACAAAGGCTGGTAAGCCGTGGCAGCACAGCACCAGAAGTGCAGGCAGATGCTAAGGAATCACCTGACAAATCTGACAGTGAGGGACTTGTAAAAACGGTACGTGATGAGTGATGTGAAAGAAACCAACAAATATTATTTTTGCGTATTATGTATGTATGTATGTATGTATGTATGTAGGTATGTAGGTATGTAGGTATGTAGGTATGTAGGTATGTAGGTATGTATGTATGTATGTATGTAAATATATATATATATGTGTGTGTATGTTGTTATATATACATATATTATACTATATTAAATTATACTATATTAATTTATATTATATTGTATTATAATATATTATAATATAATATTATAGTATATTATATTATATTATATTCAATTATATTATATTATATTATATTACATTCAATTATATTATATTATATTATATTGTATTATATTATATTATATGTCATATTATATTATACAATGTTATATTATATTATTATTTTATATTATATTATATTATGTTATATTATGTTATAATATGTTGCATTGCATTATGCCAATGGTTTTATATTATATTATGTTATATTATATTATATTATGTTAAAATATATTATATTATATTAGATTGTGTTAAAATATATTTCATTAATATCATATAATAATCATATTAATATTAATATTAATGTTAATATTAATATTGATATTAATATTGATAATATAATATACATTATATTATGTATTATATTATATATTATATTATATATTATATTATATATTATGTTATATATTATATGATATTGTATGCGATGCAGTGTGTAATAGGTATGTGCACAATTCAGATTTGTGTCGTTTCAAATCACAGCCCACTCCTCGCTTTCAAGACTCCTGCCTCTTTGTGGCTCGAGCAGACCAGCGAGGCGCATCTCCTCCGTTGTTGCCTGGCATGCTTGTGATGTAAAGCTCACATCACTTCTATCAATGTTAACTGTTAACTCTTCGCGGTACCCAAAAACAGATCCTTACGCACTCCGTCACGCACACTAAACCATTGAATCATTGAATGCCAAGACGCGGAATAATGCGCTGCCCACGGTTGAAGGCAGGTCGCCTGCGCCACAACCTGTCAGCGGTATAACGGAAGATTGGAATTTAAGTTCAAAAATGCGTAGAACATTGCAGAACTGTGATTGGATGCGATTAGGGATGCTTGCCAAATCCTCCGCGTGTTTGCCGCGCTTTAGAAGAGCTGCCAAAGGCTCTTTGCCCAAGGTCCCCCACCTGTTGCTCCAGTGCCTTTGGCCTGGGCCAGCCCACACCACACTGCCCAGAGTCATTCAGGCCTCATGCTCGCGCACTGACGGAGCATAGCAGGAACTAGTGAAAAGGACAGGCGCAGTTCGCATGGCAATACTGCACTCAATAAAATTCAACCGACTCCTGAATTCTCTTAAGGCCGAAACCCCATGCAAAGGCCAACCCACCATCCGCAAGAAGTACTGCGTGGTGCAAACCGCATGAGATCTGCAGCACCTTCCAGTAAGAGGCTGCAAGTGAGAATATTCCTGTTGGGGATCTCTGCGGCGCTGGAAATTGGAGAAAGCGAACGGGTGACAGGCCTTTGGGGTCTGTGCCAAGAAGCGCTGATGCTGCAGAACCTGTCGTTCACGCTCGTGAAAATCCAGCATTTCTCAGGCATCGTGAGTCTCACACTTGTTCAATCTTCTAATCCTTTTCATACTTTTGCACACTTTTGCATTGTTTTGCGCTGCTTTCTTTCGTGGCGATCTTCATCTGAGCCGCCCACGAAGGGCCCGGCCAACTCGAGAACCTCTGGAGATCCGATGAAGTCACAGCCCCCATGGCTCGGCCTCAACAGCTTGGGCAGCAATGCTGACAAGGCTCGGCTGAGGGCTGGATCTTTGAAAAACATCTTTACTAACTTTACTACATTTTACTACATTTTACTACATTTTACTACCATGTGGTTGGGGAAAACTATTTGTAGCTCCTTGGTTCCCCATTTCACATGAAAATGTAGGGAATATGGATACGCCGAGCTCCTTAGCGCCTCCTAAGCGCTTTTTTTCCCAGGGCTTCTCAGAGGGTTTGCCCCAACAGCCAGCCCAGCACTTGCGCTCTGGGCAAAAGCTGCAAAGGTTGCATGATGCTAAAATACTGTACGTGGTCTACATAATGTTAACCGCTGGGTAGATTAATCTTCGCCACTGAGGTTTTCTGTTATTCTTTGCGTCCGATAGTATATCCGTGAGATTTTGGTGGGAAGCAGCCCACTGTCCACGCGCACACACACACACATGACTCCCTGGGCTCGAATTCACACTCTGGCTGCCAGACACTCCGAGCATGTAGCCAGATTCGAGATGTCACAACAAGTTGACACTGATACACTGCAAAGCTTGGGAGCACACAAGCAATACACGGCGCCGCTTTGCCCCAGCACGAGTGCAAATGAATCTGCTGCGGCCTTGCGAGGTCAATGTCGCTAGCGCTACAAGCCACTTTCGAGCAATGGACAGTTCCTGACGCCGACGAAAAACTCGGTATGACTAGGGCGACTAGGGGCCAGACCACGTCAGCAATGCTTTCCTGCACCTGCCAAACTGCCAAAATCTGCCAGACTCCCTGATTTTTAGCAAACTTCACAATCTGCGTCTCTCTGCACCTCCGCCATGCATGTCAACCAGCCATGCGGAGGCTGTGGTCGGGCTGTCATCAGCTGTGCCTTACATCACTTCTTTCAACTCTGAGCAGTTTCCAGTCTCCCGATCTTGGCAAAATGGGCAACATACATGCCGTCTGAAATGGCTCACCCTTCATGTCACTCTTCAGGGTGATTGCACTGTGGAAGCTCCACGATTTCACTATGGTCGGCAAGGCTGAGCTTGACACATGAATTGGCCGCAAGCACCCACTGGAAAAGGTGGAGCCTGGAACTGTCAAATAAGCATCCCGAAACATCTCAACATGTCTCAACATGTCTCAAAATATCTCAGCATGTCTCAACATGTCTCAGCATGTCTCAAAGCATGCTCAGCATTCCACCCTTCCGCGTGTTCTGTGCAAGGGGAAGTTCCAAACTGCTCACATTCTGAGGCACCAGGCATTGCTGCCCCTCCTGTCGCTGCATTTCGACCAGCATGCGTCGTTCCGCAGCCAAGCGAGCTGCAAGGCGGGGAAGAAGCTGCTGCAGCCGAGCCTTGCAAAGAAAAGCTGTTCGCATAATTTTTATATACATAATTTTAAACAATCAGCTTGAGAGCTTGGCAGCTTTAGAAGATCTTGGAGAGGAACAAAAGAACTTTCCCATTCGAACACAAGAGTTCCGCTCAAGCACAGAAAACTGATTAAAACAAGGCTAGGGTTGTGCTGAACAATGTGGGCCACTTCCAGAAACATAAGAAAGAAATGCATTTCTGACCTGACGCGCTCGCCAACTTCGCTGCAGCTGCAAGGCGGCCATGTGACATATCTGGCAAAGCAATGTATAGCGCATATACCGATACCGCATACATCTGGATACCCACATTACCCGCGGGATCGGACTGCAAGAACTATCTTCGAACTGCTGATGCAGTACGGGCTTTGTTGAAAACGAGCCTGCCGCCTTTCATCTTCAATTTCCTTAAAACAAAATGCTGATATCAAAAAAGCACAAGGACAGAAAAACTCACCCATATGCTTTGCCCATCCTGCACATCCTGAACCCCCAGAACCCCCAGCACAAATAATTTTAGATGTTAGATCATAAATCATATTAGATGATTTGTGTCACTGTCTTGGCATTCAGCCACGTGGCCAAGCGTATTTGCCTAGTGTGCCGGCGAACTCGCTGCACCAGGTCAACCTTTCAGGTCAAGTTGCAAGAATTCATGCCAATACAAGTTTCATAACAACTTTTCTTGGAGAGATCTGCACAACGCGATTTATTAAGATAATCAGTGCTGCAGAATTCGGCCTCAGCCTGGTCGGCCCTGGCTGTGGCACCGTGGAATGCTTCGCAATTCGCAACAGAATGCAGTTGGGGCAGTTGGGTGCCAGGGTGGGGCAAGGAAAAATTAAGGAAACGTTGAAACGTTCAGAAAAACTCCGCCGGAGTGGCAGCATCTTCACTCGCATCTCGTCGGTGACACGACGTCCGGTTCTTCTTGAATAAGCCTTTTCAAAATTTTTCAAGAGAACAAGCTCAAACCAAGTTGCAAGCTGCTTGATTATATAGTCTTGATTCATGATGCACCTCGACAAATTCACAGAAGAAAGCATATCATCACATTCATCAAATGCACTTTAAGGGTGCTTCAGTGCTTCTCCCCGTGAAGGTCAAAGAGGCCTCCCAGTCAAAGACTCGGCCAGTCCGGAGGTAGATGCCTCTAACATATCGAGACAAGACCTGCAGAAGACAAGTGTGGAAAGTATGGAAACTGTTGCACACAAAGTGCAGTGTTGACTTGCTATGACTTGCTGCGCGGATACAAGTCAGCGGCAACATGTCACACCTCCATTGCAGCTTTCTTTCTCTCTTCTTCCACCTTGGGTTAAAGCAAAATTGAAAATGATCGGTGGCTGTGGCTACTCACTTTATACAATTCTACTAAGATCAAAACTGCGCAGCTCCCACTGCTGAGACTTTGGCTTTCTGGCTGAAGAGCATCCGAAGTTTCAGGGTCTTCAAAGCACCACACAACAGCATCCTGTCATCAGGTCTTGGCGAAATCCGGGCGCTTGATTATTTTCAGTACAGTAAATTTCCACATCTTACATCATTATAATAACACGGAAAATAGTAAAACTATATCATAACATGCTGTGTTCTCCTAATATATTCTAATATCTATATAATTTAATCTAGAATCTAGATGTACATTTTAATCTGATCATTGGAGTGGTCCCCTGTCCGCTTTGCTCCTGTTGCCGGAGCGATGACATTCTGCACCCCGAGTCATCAGCATCTCCCGTGCTTTGTAGCATTGGAGGAACCCCCTGGCCCAAATAAAACTCAGGCAGAAAACAACCAGGATGTTACTCACAGTAAATACTCCTCAGATCTCCTCAGGATACTCAGAATATCTCAGAATGATACTCAGATAAACTCAGCATACCAAAGAAGGACTCGATGACTCAAGGCTTTGGCACACAGCTGGACTACATCCGTGCTCAGCCTGAAGCAATCGGACGCCTTTTGAGCAGAACGTTCCAGCCTGAACAAACAAGACATTTGCGATTTGGTGGTCTCATGATTTTCATGTGGTTCAGTTGTTGGCGGTTCAACGGCTTGAATGCCAATTCCCCGCCTGATTCTCCGCATCTCTCGCCGGCCTTTCACACCACGCCACATTGAGGCAATTTTCAGACTCGCGCGGTTGTATAGCCTCAGAAGGGGAAACAGCGAGGCAGAACAGCATGACCAGCAAGTGAAACAACAAATGTCGAAAGTCACACTAGCCGCGAGTTTGCACTGCTAAAAGGACTGAAAGGCTGCCAAGACACAAATCAGGTGCAAATTGGGCCCTCTCCCTCAGCATCATTCTGTGTCATTCTGACACTTGCACCAACTTGCCCTAGGATTCTCCACGAAGGCCAACGCCACGTCAATGCCAGGTTGCTTAAAGGTTTCCAGTACTGACTGCCATAGTTCCAAGGCATCATCCATCTGCTTCTGTTGCTGCATGGCCACCTCAGTACACTTGCAGCTGTGCAAGCTGTGCAAGCTGTTTTTCTGTCCGATCCTGTCGTGTCAAAATGCGTGGAGAGTGGGCTAGATTGACTACATCAGCCTGAGAGCATTCACACACTCCATCGCAGCCAAAGAGCCAGCCGATGTTGGACGGCGAAGCGCCTACAAGCCTGAGCGGCAGCACTCGACCCGAAGAAAAGGAACAACGCACTAGTATGATCTAATGTATGATCTAATTATGCACCAGTAACAGTATAGTACGGAAGCACATGGCAGCACATACTACAGCCCAGCAACGCAAATGATGGTCCGCAATGCTCGATCATTCTGCACCTGCCAAAGATGTTGCACAGCGCACACCCATAACACGGCCACAGGACCCATGGCACACCGCATCCACCTCGTTGCACTTGTTGCGGTGAAAGCCACCACGTGCACGGGCCTAGCGGATGTCAGCAAAATTCATGGAAACCATTGAGTCTGTTGTTCATGTACGTTCATTTGATATCATTTGATGCCATCTTTTTGCAATTCACCAACCCAAACTTTACCAAATGAATCTATAGAAATCCATGGAGCGGGGGCAGAAGGCATTTAGTAGATTAATAGCTTTAGAATGCTTTAGATTTCTTCGGATTTTATGTTTTTGTTTAGTTAATGATATAATTGTCTTTAATTGTCGTGTTTTTTCAAGATTATAAGACTCTGTTTGGGCATAAATTTGACCAAAGAAAGCACAAATAAGATTCACACAAAAGGAGAATGGTGAAGCTGAGCATTGCATAGCATTGCTGATCAGCTGATTCAGCAACTCCGGCACAAAATCATCACACCGGGAACCTGGATGGTTGTGGCTGCGTGGTGCTCCCGATGCTCTGCGAGCTTCTTCCGCAAGTGCGCTGCCTACCCAAAGCACAAAGTCAGTCAAGAAGGAGCTGTCTTGCAACCACGGGCTCCAAGATTTTTTTGAACCCTGATTGGAAGCTGCATTTCGAATACCGGTTTGCTGTCGATAGGTTTTGATGCTCATTCCAACTGCATTCTGTGTGGGTGAGACCTTCAAGGCTACGCGCATCAAGCTCCGAGGCAACGTGCGAGCACGCCTTTGCCTGAGGCCGAGCCGCGCCAGAAAAATCGAACAAATTGCCCGCACAGTGCTTCTCTGTGCCAAGACACGCATGAAGCTTCCCGAGCAGCCTTGGCACAGCCGACACCGCAAGGACACTTAAGCTCGGCACGATTCGGCTCACAAAGCGACAGATGAGCGCATACGTATTTTTGGAGGCTGTCGGCATCATTCGGCATCTGTCAGCGGATGGCACCTCTGTGCTTTCATCTTCTTTTCCAAGCCGACGAGATATCGCTGCAATCGCTCAACGCAGGCATTGTGGTTTCGACGCTTGGCGACAGCAACCTACCAAAACGGTTGGGCAGTGCAAACTTGTTGTTGATCTTCAGGGACATGATTTCCTCTCACTGATATTCTAGTTGAAGAGACAGATGACGATCGAAAATGCCATGCTAGTAGTGGGGTTCTTCGGTGCAGGAGTGGCCTTGAGAGCCGTCTGCAGCTTCCTTGCAGCCTGCAGTTTGTCAAAGATTCAACACATCCAGGATCATCCAGGATCATCCAGGATCATCCAGGCAGTTGGAGAAAGCGTTTAGGGTTTTCGGAGAGAGATGGCACATGTAGCAGATACATGTAAATACCGTAAGTACTTACTTGGCAACCCAGTATGGCACCCTGCAACCGCAGCCTGCAACTCCTCCAGGCTGGCCAAACGAATGCGCAGGACTAGACAGCGCAATGCCGGAGCCAGTACAGACTGGGCCGGACAAGTGGCATGCAGAAAAGTTCGAAACAAGGCAGGTTGAAAGTGAAGAAATGATAAGAAATTGTTGAGATGCACATTTGAGCTGGTTACCAAAACTTCTCACAATACAATCGGCCCGAAGCTCCCAAAATCTTCTAAAAGCTGCCACAGTAGGGAAGATGTTTGTTTGGCATAAAACCTTCGCAATGTCACAAGATGTCGCAAGCCACAAGTGGCATTATGCTGCTGCCATGTTGCAAAGCATTCCGCAGCTTCACGCATCCTCACAATATTGCAAGGTCAAGTGCATGTCTGGCAGTGTCTGGTCTGGGAACACACCGCAACGCTGGCACAAACGCTGTCTATATCCCGTCCGCCTCGTCATCTCAATAGTTGCCACCCGTCCGCGCTGCAAAGTCTGCAGTTTTACCTCACGTTGGCTCGAATCAACTATGACGTGACGTAACTATGACAGCAACTGCCAGTGAACTTTGTATATGCGGTTGGGTCACAGCGGAGTGTACTGCCACAGAGTGGGCAGTTTTTACCCGCCAGTACACAGTGCGAAGAACTGCATCAAGCAGCTGTGTATCCTGGACAAGGCGGGCGCGAATGGGACACGAACACTTTGGTCTTGGGGGCCCATTTGTGCCCACGTGCGGAACTCTGGCATACGGCCTTGATCCGGTCATAAACACTGCTAATCTTGAAAGTGGCTGTTGTGATTTCAAATCCAGAGCAAGTCAACCTGTAGACTGGCAGACTTCTGCACAAAAAGCAGTTACAAAAAGCGGTTCAACGCACGAAGTGTTCAGCATTGGGACTCAGTACCATCTGAAATTCCATGAAATTCCAGTGGCTGGATTTTCCGGTATGATTCGCACTTCTCTTCACGTATATTCACAGAGCGTACTTGTTGCCAACCAACTGGGCAAGGGCTGGCATTTTTCGGGTATTGTCTGGTTTCGCTGCCATATCCTTGCAACCCTTTGGAGCATTTTTGATACAAGCCAACCAACTCAAGAAAGTCTTGCGCCAAAGCCTCAACGTCAGGTATTAAGAAACCATCCCAATCTGAAGGTGTGCTCATGCGTGCCCTGATGTCCCCACCAAAGGCAAAATGCTGGCAGCCGGTCCCCTTGGACATTGAGTTATAATGGTATCCTACTTCTGGCCTGATGTGCCTTCGTATACTGTGACCAAACGCGCGAAAGACTGTGTGTCAGACTGACAATCTAAGTAATAAAAAAAATGGATTGACGGAGGATGTGAAAGAAGAGATTGTGTTCATATTTCTGTGTCCGCTTTGTTCCAGTCTTTTTTGTTTAAAGATTTCAAAGAGAGATTTGACGGGCAGTGTGTTTAAAACGTAAGGTGTTCACCAAGCCTTTGGAGCAAAATGCCTGCATGTGTGATCTGTAATCTATAAAATATCTATAATCTGTGATGGCGAAACAAAGTAAAACATTACAAAACTATGTGATGACGACAGGAAACAAGAAGCTGCATCTCAACCGGCCTTGTGCTCCTGCTGCCTATTTGCAAGCTCCCTTCGGGAAATCTGGGATCGCCTCCCCTGCCTGGCGAGAAGGGAACCGGGACATGAAGCATCATGAAGCCATGAACATCATGAACTCACAAAGCATCAGAAAGCATCAGAAAGCATCAGAAAGCATCAGAAAGCCGAAGTCAAGGCACTGAAGTGTCTGTGCTGCGGCTGAAGCTGCGCGCCTGAACATGATTTTTGCAGCAGCCCTGGATTTGCTTGGAAATTTCGGAAATACTTTGGGAGCGCAGCAGTGCATCCAAGCGTCTCGCTGAGCCTTTGTCTTTGCATCAGGCTCTGGAAAATGGAGCGGATCAGGCTCTCGTCCTTGCAAATGCTCTGTTGTGATTTCTGCTCAGCAAATCAGCAAATCTGAAACTTGATGTCCTTTTTCTCATCCCTCATTGCTTGCACTTCACGCTGCGCCACACAAGCTCGCCGCTGAGTTTGCAAGTGCTGAGTTGCCTGCGACAGACCATCAGAGTGCAACGACCCCAAGATCCTATCCCCAACGCACCTGTTGAACAGAGAAGTCAGCCATCGCTTTGCGCCATTTTGCGGCCTGTAGGAGTCGCATTTCAATCTGGCTGGAAAAGCATAAGAAGGAAGCACCAAAATTGAAAGCCCCTCAGATTGAATGCTGGAAGATGTGAACAATTCTTACAAAATGGAAGCTCAAAGAGCAATGAAGATAGAATGCGTGAAGGGAGTGAAGGGCCTTCAGCACGGCCAGTATCAAGTTCTCTGCATCCATGTTGTGTCTCACTGTCGTTCCCCGCACACGGCGCTGGATCTCCACCGCAGCATTCTCCCGGCGCTGACGAGCAGCATCCAAAGTTGGGCCAAGGGCCAAGCGTCGTCGAGCCAACGCCTGAAGCGCTGGTAGCCACGGTGAGGCCACAGCTGACAGCATTTCCTGAGATATCACGGGCACAAAAGGAAGCCAGCATACAGTAAAAGGATGTAAAAGGTGACAAAAAGAAAACTTTTATTTTAAAAATACTTCAGAAAGTATCCACGTGCTACCTTGGACGTTGCTGACAGGGCGGACGAGTATTAGATTCCCTCATACGATTGTAGCCCAGTTCAAGAAAATGTTATGAAGAAGCTCATTCTTCTGAAAAAGCGCACCTACGGGGAAAAGGGTCTCCATCTCTGTCAAGGCGCTGAACGAGCGATGTGCATGCGCAGAACTGCTTGTAGAAACTGTGTACTTTGCTGTTTCGTCTCCGCCTGAGGGAACCTGCTGGTAGCACGTTTGCAGTAGGACAATTGAACAACTTTCAACATCTTTCAACTGTATACAGTACTGTATACTAAACTGACGCAAATCGTATCCCTGTATGGTTTGCTTGCTACTTTTCCCGTCCTCACAAATTCAATCTTCTTCACTCGACCATGGCGAAGAGCTTGAAGGTTGATCTCGGCACAGTGAACTTCGGTGAAACAGTGAAGAGACTACATTGCAATACATCGAGATACATCGAGCACATTGCAAATACATCTGCAAGGGGGCAGGCTGGGGCAGGTCAAAGAAAATGGGGCGATTAAGAGTTCATAGCTTCGGAGCAAGTGCTTTTCACGCACACCACGACTGACTTATTTTTTCCGCCTCGGAAGCTCCTGCCTGGTTCAAGAGACTGTTACAAATGTCCGGAACATCCCGCAACTATACGACAAGTTTAAAAAAGTGGTACATGTTGAAGCAATGTCGAAACTTCATGCTGATGGTCTACATCTTCAGTGCTGAGAAGCCTCCACAACATCTTTGAAGATGTAGAAACCCTTGGCGGCAGCCACTGCATCCAATGGATTCACCTTCGAGAACATGTTGTTGGTGACGCGTGATAGAAGTGAATCTGTGACGCTGGAATCGACGACGCCAGCCACGGAATTGTAAACATCATCACGGTAGACTTGCTCCTCTTTAATTTGGCGTGGCCCGCGCTCCCCAGAGTCGCGACACGGCAAGGATTCACATTTGAATGGTATCTCGGACTTTCTGAATTTCATCATGGAATCGTTTGCAGATGAGCAATCACAGTGGACTCGGGCACAGATGCTACCAAGCGCCCAATGGCTGCATTTCACAGCTTCGTAGTCGGCCACGGATGTCACATCGTTGGCATCAATGCTGCCAATGGCCTTGTAGTGTGCCTCTGCTGCTGCCTTCAAGAGGTCTCCATGCACCTTGGAACCCATCACGATCATCTTGTTGAACTTTGACTAAAGCACTGACGCCAAACCGGCAGTGCTCGAGCAGCACGAAGCTGCATCAGCACGAAGCAACGGCTTCAGGTAAATGTCCGATGGCCAATCGATGTCCTTCATGAAAGGATAGGATGCATCGGACAATGCTTTTGCAGCTTCACCAATTTTGTCGGAAGGAACAACTGCAGGAGCACTGGCCATGGCCACTTGATTCTTTTCAACAAAATGCTTGAATTCCAGGAATCCTTGGTACTGTAGGCCTTCTCGGCATCGGGTCCGTTCACCAAGGACTTCATGTAAGCTGGCGCTCCAGGCTCCATGATGGCTTTCACTGAATCATAAACGGCCATGACCTTTGCTTTGGGGACCGAAGCGACTACACGGCCAAGGGCTGCATTCACGGCATCTCAGTCAGCGCGCGAAGTCACACACTTAGCACCAGGATCACTTGGACAGTGGCTTCTGGATCACTTGAACAATTTGGCCCACTGATGGTCTTGTGATGTGCTTCTGCTACTTCCTTCAGAAGGTTGGAGTCTGTCGATCATCTTGTCAATGGCTTTAACAGCTTCCAGGGGCTGAAACTTGCTGGGCGCCTGCAGGAAAATGCCATTGTTCCAGTCCACTTCCTTGGCAAACGAGAAGCGTCCCCAAGCTTCCTTCGGCATCACCAATCTCAGCATAAGCCGCAGGAGCCATCATGCTGGCTGCTGCGGCCATTGGAACATCAACTGCTTCTGGAGACCGCATGCAGCCCCCGCAACTCCGACAGCAATAACTTTCCTTGCTCCGGGTACCATGGCCACTAAAAGTTTAAAGCGGGCCGGAGTTGCTCCGAAAACACGCCTCTAAAGCTGGCTTGAGCCGAAGGAACACAAAGATGTCACTGGTCCAGCGCTACCAAAGGAAAAAGGGGAAACTCCCAAGATTGGCCAAGCAGCTGAACTGGCAACGGTCACTGCACCAGCTGTCTCCATGCGCAAGCGCAAGGTATGGAAAAGGCTTCGGAGGAGACGAAGATCCTCGGATCACACGAGACTTTCAGGAGGCCAGCTCGGTTTCTTTCGTTTCTCTGCCTCTGGACTCTGGGTTTCAAATTAGCTTGGTCATGCTTGGTCTGTGCACATTCGCTTCCAGCTGGGATACTTTACCTCTCAGGCTCATGACTCTCATGGCATCGAATTCCGCACCATCTATAATTCTCCAAGCAAAAATGGAATGAAAGCCGGGTGTTTCAGATAAACCTTGGAAAACATGTGGACCAAAATTTCGTTCAAGGATCATTTGGATCAACTTTCTGTGGCGGCTCATCCGCTTGCTCAGCCGCCCCAGCTAGTGGAGGCTCGGACCTGGACTCGCCACGCCCGGCACCAAGGCACCAAGGCTACTTTGCCAGTGCTCCAGGCTAGCCCTAGCATACCCTAGTGCATAAAGGCAAAGCGACTAAAGGTGAGACGTTTTACATGTCTACCTACCTACCTACCTATCTATCTGTCTATCTATCTATCAATCAATCAATCAATCAAACAATCAATCAATCAATCAATCAATCAATCAATCATCTATCAATCATATCTATCTATCTATCTATCTCTCTCTCTCTCTCTCAGCAATTGGCCGATGGCCCTGTGAAACTATATCCGGCGTCATCTGACAGCTGAGTTCATCACGGGCTCGCTTTCGGCGAAGACAAGGAAGGCTTCGGCTTCAGCGAGTCCTTTGGAACACTGGTCCTTTCGGAACTAGGCTTTGCGGATGCTTTGGAGGCACGCTTTGGGCCCATCATGGCGGGCCATGGCCACGCAACCGCAACGAAAAATTGGAAGCTGGAGGAGTGAATTTCATGACATTTGAATCGTTTGAACTTGAATCAATACAATTTCTCACCCGATTGAAAAATGGCTTCGGGAAAATGGCAAATACAGGAGGCCTGGTTGTTCTGGAGAGTTTGTCTACCCTTGCAGTGAGTCAGTACCTCCAGTTGTGTGGGTAGCCAAGATAACCAAACTAAGTCGCACTGCTGCGCATTCCTTGCTTGTCCATCCCTCCAGATTATCTGTGGTGCTTTTCAACGAAAGGACCTCGGTGCAGCCCCAGCAACGGCTGCGGTCTTCATTTTCAAACTTGTTGACTTGTTGAATTCTTTCAGATGTTCCTGCCAAGACCCATCTGACCCTACATGGGGCACATTGCAATGGCACAGGATCTGCGCGCTTTTGACACCAACCCAACTGTCAAGTCGCCCTCAGAAACAGCTTGGCACCTGCCTCGACAGAAGTCCAAGCCAGCAAACACTCAGCAGACTCTCAGTAGGCTCATGACGATGCAGCTCGATCTTTCTGCCAGGGAAAAAAGGACGCACTTTTTTGCACTGGCGCTTTGTCAACTCAGCTAACTCTACTTGACAGCTCTGCTGGATGTAGTTCAAAGCTGTTGCAAGATTTTCCCTCTCACAACTCTTTGCAAATACATCAGCAGCTAATCCAACATTGATCGCATCGGCCTGCACTTGCAAGCTATGAAGGTCCATCAACACAGTCCGGGCTTGGTGCCACTGTGCGGCTTTTTGGCAAGCGCTGATCGTAGCATTAAAAGAAATCATAGAGGGCGGTGACGACATCTGCGCCAACTCAAGCAGCAAAACAGCCGATGGCCATTGTGTGCCCTTCTCGCAGGAACTGATACTAGCATTCAAGGTGATACCATCCGCTTCTATACCCCGCTGGTCCAAGACATTCATCAAGTTTCTAGCCATTTGCCACTCTCCACGTTTCTCACATGCACTTATAGCCGCATTGAAGGAAACCACATTGGCCTCCACGTCTTGGTCAAGGAGCTGTTGCAGCACCAAGATCGCTTCCTGCCACTGTCCGGCCTTCTCAAAAGCACTGATGAGTGAGCAGAATGAAATGATATTCGCTTGCAGATTCAGGGCCTGAAGTCTTTTGAAAAGGGCTTGAGCCTGCTGCCACTGTGCCTGCTTCTCGCATGCACTGATGGCTGCATTGCAAACCGCTGTGTCTGCCTCCAGCTGCAACTCCAGCAATTGCTCCAAAAACGACACAGCGTATTGCCAAATGCCACACTTTTCGCAGGCGCTGATGGCTGCACTGTGGACAATGGTGTCGACATCAGCTTTCAATTGCTGCAGCTCATGAACCAGAAGCAAGGCATGTTCCCATTGACCTCCCTTCTCACAAGCGCTGATGACACCACTAAAGGTTACAAAATCATGTTCAAGTTGCTGTTCCTGAAGTTGCCGCAGCACTGCCACAGCTTCCTGCCACTTGCCTGCTTTAGCATATCCACTAATCATGGAGTTGTTGGAGATCAGCTGGGCACGTGGAAATGTGCGTAGCAAATCCAGGAGGGTGTGACCAGCTCGTTTCCACTGCTCGGCATCTACACACCCAAAAATGATGGAGTTGTACGTGATGAGGTTTGGGCGCCAGGAGTTGTGGTCAGCCGAGGCAAAGATCTGCTGCGCCTGCTGCCAGACTATCCAGCCTTGGCTGCAAAGTGAATTATACAGGGCTGTATCGGCAAAGATTTGCTGATTCTGGAGATTGGAAAGGAGGAGACTTCCTGCTTGCCACGAGTCAACCATACTCATGGTAGAACTGTATGTGATGGCATCTGTCCTCAAGCTTTGCATGCTACTAAAGTTCAAGTAGGAAAGGGCACGTTTCCAGGTGGAGACATCCAAAGCGCTAACTGCGGTGTTTAAGCCGATGATATCCGTCTGCATCTGATTTGCTTGAAGGTCCTGCAGAATTCGACCAGATTGCTGCCACCCCGCACTTGCGTCCAAGGAATTTAACGCTGCATTGACACTGAATACGTTGACTTCCATCCCACGCTTCCGCGCATGTTGAAGGAAATGATGCGCTTCTCGCCACCTCTGGCCTACGTGATAGGAGGTGACCATAGTACCGCAGGTGATGATGTCGGTCTGAATGCATTCACTTCCCAAGACATTCCACAACTCCACGGCGGATCTCCATTCAGCGGCATGTCTACACGTGACCATTGCAGCGCTGTATGCTATGCAATCTAAACGCAGTTCTTCTGCACGGAGCTGCTTCAAGTGTCCCAAAGCTTGTTGCCACTGAACGTTCTTCGCGCATTGCCTGATGGAAGCCGTGCATGATTTCAAATCAGGTCTGGGCATGCTCATTCGGGTCATTCGGTCACGCGTGTTGCATTGCCTCCAAGGCTCCCAGCTATTAGCTGAACCTGCGGGTGTGTCATGCTGCTAGGATGAAACCCAAACGCACCGGACAATGGACAAGTCTTGCAGCACTTTCCATGCGACGACACACTAGGTCGCTAGGCCAACGCTCTTTCCTGCTCAAGCTTGTGCCGAACTCTGACCACAGAAGATTCACGATTCAGATAAGACCACACTCTAGCGCCAAAACTCTAGCAGCCGGAACAAAATTAAAGACTACAGTGACTACAGTCTCATTCAGGCGCAGCATTCTAAATCTAAGCTATCAAAGCCTAAATCACTTGCAAGCTGCTTATAACAAATTAGCAACCAGTGGGGACAAAGAAAAGCAAACTAAAATTCAACAAATGATACCTTTCATTGATCACCTGGAGACCCCTGCCGTGTCCATTTTCCTCCTAGCTGTAAGCCTTTGCTCGCGTAATTGTCTATAGCGCAGAGGCTTTGCAAGAGGTGCTTGTGACCATCACCTTTTTCACAAGCTATAACAACACTGCTAAGCGCCAGAACGTTGGCTTCAGCTTGTCTTTTGCATAGAAGCTCTAGCATTGTGCTCGTCTCCCGCCATGAGCCATGTGCCTCGAAAATATGAACAGTATCTTTTCCTAAGCTGCTAATACTCCCTGCGATCACATGGTTGATAGGCACTTGCTTCTCCCGCGTGTCCTCCAAGAACAGCCATGCCAACTTCCATTTGTTACTCTCGCTGCACGATGTGATGGCTGAACTGCAGCTGATAGCATCTGCTTGCATTCCGCAGTCTTGAAAGCTGTGCAATATTCTTGTGCATGCAAGTGCTCTTTCCCAGAGGCTGCCTGACACACATGCGCTGATAAGGGTATTGTATGTGACAGGGTTCGGTTGCAAATGTTGCTGCATTTCTTCCACTAGCCAAAGGCTTGCCCTCCACTCTCCTTGCCTAGCAGATGCAGAAATAGCTGCATTGAAGGTCACGGATGTGCATTGCATGCTCAAGCGTCTCACTTCTTCAAAGAGCACCCGGCCTTGTTGCCACCTCTGGCCTCTGTCACAGCTGCTAATTGCAGCGTTGCATGATATGACTTGGCTTCGGAGCCCTGAACTTTGTAGCTGGGTCAAGATCGCCTGCACATTTTGCCAGCGACCCACGCTCCCAAAGCTACTCATCACTACATTGAAAAGTATCACGTCTGGTGGCCGGCTCTCGTGCAAAAGCTGCTCCGCTTTGTCAAGCTGTGAAGCTCGACCACAAGCATTTGCTGCTGCACTCACCACTACGAGTTTGTTCTGACCTCTGAGCGCGTTCCCGTCCCAAACTGGCCTGGAACCGTGACAGGCTTGCAGCATATGATCGCTGGACACAATGGAAACGTCCTCAACCCCTCTCAACAGTTCCAATGCCCGAGGCCAAGCTACAGTCACAGCACAGGAATTGACGCAACGACTGCAGCTCGTGGCATCTCCACAGAGACGGTGCAAAGGCAAATCGGACAACAAGAGGCATGAAATGCGCCACTGGCAACCCATGGCCGTGTTAAAACTGAACATGTCACGTCCCACAGGTAAATACGGCATCTTCCAGAGTAAACAGAGACTTTGTTGCCAAAGTTCCTGCTTATCATAGGCAGCCATGACAGCATTGTATGTAACTACATTGGTTTCTGCTCTTCTGTCCTTGAGTTTCTGGAGAAGTTGCTGCGCAGCAATCCACGGCCCGTGTCCCAAAATGCTGATCAAAGCATTAAAGGTAGCAATGTCATATGCCAAACTAAGATTTTCATCTCGTTGGAAGCCCATCTGCACCGTTTCCTTTGGCTTCAGATTGCCCATCAAAAGCAATCCCAGCTGCCAGAAGTGTTCATCGCCCATGACTCCAAGGGCTGCATTGAGGGTAGTGGTCTGTGGAACCAACCGCTGGACACCATGCTCTGCAAGCACTGAAATCGCTTGTTGCCATGTCCGCTGTGTCCTAAATGCTGTGATACACAGTGACAAAGAAAAGGAATCAGGATGAATTGGTTGCAGTAGTCCAGGCGGCCAGCAAAGAATTTCTAATGCTTGGTTCCAGCGCTTAATCGTTTGATTGTCATTCACACAGCTGGCAGCAGCACTGGAAAGGATCATGTCTATTTTCACGCTGTTCTGTCCAGCACGGTGAAAGTGCTGCAATGCATTCCGCCATGCAAGTGACCGTTTGCACGCCTTGATGGCAGAAGTGTACGTGACAGCATCTACTTTCAATGACTCAAGGGATACGCACAAAAGTTGACTTGCCAGCTGCCATCTCCTGATGCATACTCCAATGACTGAATTGCAAGCGACCTGGTGAACCATTCTCCCTAGTTGCCACATCATGACTAGCGCTTCATTCCAAGATCCACTTTTGGCGCGTTCGCTCACAGCTGAGTTGAGAAGAAAAACATCCTTCTGCCCGCGCAGCTCCCACGTTTGAAAACGTGGCCAATGGCCAGTTGTCCTTTGCATAACGGGTTTTTAATCACTTAATCCCATCAGCCTGCGAGATTCTTCATACCAGGTACTGACTGGTTCCCGCATATTTTGGGATTAAGAAAGGCCCCACAATGCTACCTACTTGGACTGCTTGGAGTTATCAAAATTCATATGTTTGGGTTCCCATGCATCTGCATGGCACGTCTATATAAATAAGGGGCAAGTTTCTTCGGTTCAAGTGCTTGAGTGCCGGTTATTCTGGATTGCTTAAATAAATCAGAGCCCTTGAAACAAAAACTAATTTCCCAAGATTTCGTGGGAATAACCGAATAACATACAAAATTGCAGGGATGTTTTACATACAAATGACAGAATTCGCCATAGAGCAGGCATCAAATGTCACAAAGGTTGGTGCTGTGCACTTGGGCATGGTGGGCCTCGCGAGCACATTCCATACAAGCATCAACGAGCCACATAAGAAGTTTTTGCCCGCCAATTCCGAAAACAGCAACTGTCACTTGACAAGGGCAAAATTGGCCGGATACTATTTTCATTTGCCCAAACTGGTGTTGCCCACGAAACGAATCGAATCCTGCCCACATATGC